ACTCTGCGGCACTCTGCGGCAACCCTCCGGCACTCTCCGGCTCTCTGCGGCACTCTTCGGCACTCTCCGGCGCTCTGCGGCAACTCTCCGGCACTCTCCGGCACCCTCCGGCACTCTGCGGCACTCTCCGGCACTCTGCGGCACTCTGCGGCAACTCTCCGGCACTCTGCGGTACTCTGCGGCACTCTGCGGCAACACGATAAGGCTCGAAAACACTCTAAAAACACTCGATAACGATCTAAAACACTCTGAAAACACTTGAAAACGGTTCAAAAACGCTTGAAAACGCTTGAAAACGCTCGGTGATGCTCGAAAACACTCGAAATCTCTCGATAACGCTCGGAAACGCTCGAAACCGCTCTCAAAATGATCGAGAATGCGTGCGTGCGTGCGTGCGTGCGTGCGTGCGTGCGTGCGTGCGTGCGTGCGTGCGTGCGTGCGTGCGTGCGTGCGTGCGTGCGTGCGGGAGCCGCCAACGGCGACTGGTACATGGTACCGCCATCGCGAGTGCGCGAGCTCCTATCAGAAATTCTCTGCGCCGCCCTTGGAGGCAAAAAACGGTCGCACGCGCCTGCCCGTGAGCAATCTCCCAACTCATCTCTGGTACTGTCTCTCTTCTAGCGGGATTACTCGGAATTACATACTTTTCATAAACATGCATTTTTCTTTCAAACATGACAATCTATAATCATTTGCTTTCTTTGTTCATGACTGAAAGAACAATCTTCAATTATTGACAAATCAGTGAAACACGTGTTTGCACATGTTTTACGGAAGTGTCATGACACTGGATGAGAGAAATGGGTTATGTGGACATTATTCATTGGCACGGCTTTTTCATGTTCGAAAAAGTAGTATTACTTTTTAATAGCAAGTAACTTAACTAGTATTCTGATATTTTGACTTGTGATTCTATACTCAAAATGTCGGAATTAATTTCGGGAACTTGTCTAACAATGTGCCCCGAGAAAGAACGTTGGATGTAAGTTTCTTCTGGCTCGTAAATACTCATAGTATATTAACACCTCTTCTCTATAGGAGAGAAAGAGAAGGTTTACTACATATTCTTGAAATTGACGAAAGTACAAAACATCGCAAACGACCAGCAGCAGATCCAACAAAAACAGTGAAATGTTTTGCCAGGCCAGCTGCGGGTCAAACGATGCCCGACTTGAGCGAATTACGACCTGGCCCAGTACTCGGCTTAACTATCCGATTCTTGTTTAAACAGTAATGGCATAACCATTTCTTGTCGCTGTATATTAAAGCCTGGATGTGTATTTCTAAAAATAAGTTTTCAACTTTTCAGGGTACTCACTCGTTCAGATATTAATTGGGTAGTCTTATATGATTTCACTTTTGATCGTCTGCGAGCAGTCCGACAAGATATTATAATCCAAAGGATTGATACTCGAATGAGCATTTCCCTTTTTGAGCCCATTGTGCGCTTTTACATTTACTCAGAACAAAGGTGAGTATAAGAAATGCAGTGCCTGGCTTATCGATATCCTATAAATAATTCCATATGAACTTTCAGACTCTGCGAAAGAGATATTAAAGAATTCGATCCCGTAATTAATAACAAACACCTATTAGAATGCATCAAGCACTTGCTTGCCTTATATGATGAACAGGAAATCCGGGAAAGACAAAGTTATTCAGACATTTGCAAAGAATTGGACAATTGGTCCATAACCGATAATCGGACAGAAATGGAAACAATTTATATTTTGTTACATTTAGGAAATCCTACAGCTATATCGAGAGGTTTAGAGCTTCCCTCAATTTATAGATATGTATTTTGTATTTTTAAGAGACTTAGTTTCATCCCTGTAGATATTTTCCTCAATTATTAACCGAATCATATATTTTTTCAATACGTCTAAGATGGTCAAGACTGCTCTAAAGATATCCCTTGCCTGGTATTTAAGAAATTATGCCAGAGCCTGCCGAATGATCAGATCTCTTCCGCCCTTGTTGACTTGTGCTGCATTGTGTAACTTGAGGCAAATTAGAAGGTGTACACTTTTCACAGATTGAATCAATGTATATTATTCTTCCCGGCATAAACTTAAATCATTTCGTTTTCAGAACATCTCTACAAATAATGAGCTCAGGATTTAACAGTAAAAACTTAACTTTCCCTGGACTCAAATTACAAGAGCTTTTATTATATAATGACGTTAGTAAACTCAAGGCAGACTGTGAACTGTTTGGACTAAATTTTACCAACGAAAATGTACAGTTTGAAAAGTCTAAGTTCAAAGAGGATGTATCATTGGTAATACTTAATCGCTCAATAAACCCAGTCAATAATAAATTATTACTTGACACAGCAAACTTTTTATCTTTCTTTCAGGCCACCCCAGAGGCATTTTTCAATGCTCGGGAATTGCACAAACTGTTACCTGAAATACTCCTGGATAGTAATTAATGTTTCCAAACAATTCTATTGAATAATTATAAGTGTTTATTTTTAGTAATAAAAGAAGACTTCTAAAAAATGTTTCTAATTTTTAAGTTAGTTTAATTTAATCAACGCTGTAAGAGAATTAAAGTTGCTTATCTATAAATACAATCATTCATGATTTCATATCAGTCTTTAAAGATGCTTATATGAGACAAAATTCAGATGAAGATGAATTTCTACTTGCTAATCTTAAGCTATTGCTTTGGACTTATTCTGAAGTTTTTATTGTGAATCACTCGACGAACTGCTCGAGGAATCTGTAGACATGACCTCGACATCTTCTGTTTCCTGTTTGTGAGTATTCATAGCGACGCTACCTTGTCCACCCATGGACATGTGAATTTCCCCAGAAGGATGCCATGCAAACTGATTTGCCTGCGAGACTGGTGGTTCTAAAATTGAGACAAAATTTCTAAAATTATGATACCGGAAATAAATCACATACAAAACATTACCTCCTGCTGGATGACCCGCGCGATGAAGGTCGGATGAAATTCCTGGATGCGAGCCCAATATCTGTCCATTTGGAGGAAGATCACTTAATCTACCTAGGAATCCTAACCTCATTTCAATATCTGTAAATTTTATGAAAAACACATTAGAGTATGCTTCAGTTAAAGAATTTCTTTTTAAGAAGTTAGAGCGTGAAATCAAGAGAAATATTATATACCCGTTGGATATGGTCTGCGAGGATCTCCTTGCTGCCAGGTAAGCGGCGCACAAACTGCATTAGAGGCACTAATCCTGTGGGCAAACTTAATGAGTTCCTCGGAAGGAACAGGCCTTTTATTAGCCCGAGCTATAGACTGCAGCTTCTGTTTGGCTTGATATATGGCTGTAGCAAGAATCTGCTCAGCTTCTTTTAACTGACGCTGTAGTTGCTGAATGTCTTGATCCTGCCTATCGACCTCTGCCTTTAGGGCTTCCATTTTCAAATTGATCTTAGCTTGTTCAGCAGCCTTTTTTAATGTCAACTTAAGTTCATTGTCCTTCGCTACAAGTAATTCAGTAAGTTGAAGATGCTCCGCACTGGATAGCTTCAAATGCTTCTGTGCAATTGTATTTTCGATGAGCTCTCTGAAATTGGAAAACGAATTAAGCATGCCAAGTGCAGCAGAATTTGATATTGCACTAGATAATAAGTTGAGCGTACTTCGCTATTAATTCAATGTCATCTACGATAGACAAGAGCACTTCTCTCGTGCTCTTATTTGTTGCCATGCTTGAGAACAATCAGACCATCCAAATCAATCCACACGATCCAACCAAACAAGACGCGATACAACTAAGAACAAGATGAACAACTGTGAACAACTATGAACGGCGTGAACCGGGACCGAAAGTCATACATTATCAAGATTATTGATACGGAACATGGGCATGGAAATTCGCTACAGTCCTCTGCTGCTGCCATCTAGTAGAATTCATGAAAACTAAGCATATTTTTCTACTATTAGTACCCTTTGATGGCGTTACCGTCTAATGGTACGTAGCCGGTGTTTGTAAATGTATTTCTCGATTCCTAACCTAATTTCATGTCAATTGTCACGTGGAAAATTTGGAAAGACTCTCACGCTAATAATTGAGACGCTTTGAATTGAATTCATGCTTGAAATACCAATAATTTAATTGATTTGAGGTATGACAATTTAAGTAACATTGATATAACCAGATATAACGATTATGTTTTACAATCTGATTAAACATAAAAGTTTTACACATTTGACGTTCGTATCATTGAAATCATTGTTTTATATATTCCTAATATTTAGCATTACCTTTTTCAGGCAATGGAGACGGAAATAGCTGGTTTCGCTAATTATGAAGAAACTGCTACAGATGATGAGAGTGAAATCGCTGGTTCTAAAAAGAAAGCCAGCAAGAAGTCGGGTGGATTTCAGGCTATGGGTCTTAGCTTTCCTGTAATGAAAGGGATTTTGAAACGAGGCTATAAAATTCCAACACCTATTCAGAGAAAAGTAAGATTTCTTATAATATTGCACCCGAGGCATTAATGTTTGTATTGTTAGAATTACTCAAAACTAAAATATGTTTTATCGGATAATTATTACGTTAACTTATATTTTTCCACAGACTATTCCACTTGCCTTAGAAGGTAGGGATGTCGTCGCCATGGCTCGAACAGGTAGTGGAAAAACTGCTTGTTTTTTAATTCCACTGTTTGAAAAACTTAAAACTAGACAAGCAAAGACCGGTGCTAGAGCTTTGATTTTATCCCCAACTCGAGAGCTGGCATTACAAACGCTAAAATTCATTAAAGAGATAGGGAGATTTACTGAATTGAAGCCAGCAGTAATTTTGGGTGGAGATAGTATGGATAATCAGTTCAGTATAATTCATGGCAATCCTGATATTATTGTCGCTACACCAGGACGTTTTCTTCATCTTTGTGTTGAGATGGAACTACGTCTCAATAGTATCGAGTACGTCGTTTTTGACGAAGCTGACCGGTAAGTTTCATTGATCAAACGTTGTCCGCTTAAGCTTTAAATTAATACATAAACGCTTTGATTTGATTTCAGCTTGTTTGAAATGGGATTTGGGGAACAGGTTAATGAAATAGTAAACAGACTTCCTGAATCTCGGCAAACTCTTTTGTTTTCGGCCACACTTCCAAAAGTACTGGTGGAATTTGCAAAGGCTGGTTTATCGGACCCTGTTCTACTACGTCTAGATGTGGAAGGAAAGATACCTGATGAATTAAAATTATCTTTTATCGTATGCCGTGCAGAGGAAAAACTAGCAGCACTTTTGTCATTATTAAAAAACATCATTAAACCCGAATCACAATCAGTGATTTTTGCTGCTACAATGCATCATGTTGAATATATTCATCTGGTGGGTACTTTGCAATGTACCGTCTTAGAAAAAGACCAATTGTTTGCTATTCATGGGCTATTTTATAGATATTGGATCAGGCCGGAATTAGCAACACCTTCATCTACTCAAATTTGGATCCATCAGCACGTAAAATAAATGCAGCAAAATTCCAGACTGGCAAAGTCAGAGTTCTTGTTGTAACTGATGTGGCTGCACGAGGAATCGATATACCCCATTTAGATTATGTAATTAATTTTAATTTTCCCGCCAAGAGCAAGTTATTTGTCCATAGAGTAGGTGAGTATAGTAATATAAATTATTAGTATATTAATTATAAGAAGCATTTTTACTTTTTTTTTTTTTTTTGACAGGTCGATGTGCTCGTGCTGGTCATACAGGCACGGCGTATAACTTAATTGGTCCAGATGAATATGCTTACCTTTTGGATTTGCATCTCTTCTTGGGTCGACCTTTTTGCATGGTTCCACCTTCAGGAGATGATGATTGTCTCGAAGGCGCAGTAGGAAAAATGCCACAATCGATGATAGAAGAACAGCTTACAGAACTAATAACCTGGCATGAAAACTCAACAGACTTGGTTAGTTCAATTGAAATATAAAAATATTCTGAGTTTAGACACTAATAAAAATGTTATCTACAGTCGAATATGCAAAAAGTATGTGATAATGCGTATCAACAATATTTAAGATCAAGGCCAGGAGCGTCACCAGAAAGCAACAAGAGGATAAAAGAATTGCGTATTAGCACAGCTGGAGTTATAGCTGAATATCGCGACATTACACCAGCTGCAGCGGATTTGCTTTCTCGTATGAAAAATTATCGGCCCCCAGGAGTTAGTACTTCACTTAAAATTTGAACTTCTTCGCTTCTACTTGAAAAATATTCATCACGAATCACTTTTGAAAAATAATATATTTTCTAGGCACACAGTTAAAACGTTAATTATTTTTTATTGCAGACTATATTCGAAATAGGCGCGAAACCTTCCTCCGCAGACTATCAGGTGATGAAAGCAAAAAGAGCATACCACAAGGATAACATTATAAACTTTCATAAAAAGGTAGAAGAAATAGAAAGCAAACAAGAAAATTTCATTAAAGGTACGTTCTTAATTGTATGAATTTTACTTGACAATCCTTTTAACTTTAGTGTCTCGATCATTTTCCTTATATTTCAGAGGCGAAGCAAAAGTCAACTCTTCCAGCCAGTAATACGGATGACATCAATTCGGTGTTTCGAGAAGTAATAACCCCGAAGAAAAGGAGTATAGAGAGTATTTATAAGAATCAGAAGAAAAAGAAAAAAGTCACTCGAGACGAGGAGTTTTATATTCCCTACGCAGCTCCAGATAAACACACCGAAGAGGGGTACGAACAAGTTATTCATAGCAAAAGGAAAACCTGGGTTGAATATTAATTTAAAAAAAAAAGGTACTGACCATTTTCTCTTCAGTTTGGCAGTAAACACCTTCAGAACGGATGCTGAGAAAATGCAATTGGATCTCACAGGGGATACCGAAGACATGAGGCGCCTTCAGACGCAATTGAAAAAGTGGGATCGCAAAAAGAAGAAGATGATCACTGTAAATAATGTACGTATCCATTTAACCGGTTGTTGAGAATTGATTTGGAAAATTGACGTAATCAATTGTGAATCCTCTCATCCTGTTCGCAGGATTCCAAGCAAGGAAAGATCCGCACAGAATCCGGCGTTTGGATACCTGCAACTTACAAGAGCAATCGTTACTCACAATGGAAGGAGAAGAGTAAAGTTGATTCTTTAAATAATGAGAGTAGCGACGAAGAGGAGCCACCACAAATTCAAAAGTGTAAGTTTAATTTATTCACTCACCGTTCATTGCCATGTCCTTTGAGGCTACTACGTGTAAAAATATATCTGGTTTTTATTTTTAATTTTTTTTGTAACAACAGTAACTAATGGTTTCATGATGGAAACATACTACGACACAAATGTCACTGGTTTAATACTGCGCAGTAACAGCTGGGACCTATATTTTAAAATGTTAATTCAGAGTTCAGTCGAAAGCAGGAAGAAGAGTGATTGCCGGGGTAGACGGCGAAATTAATTAGTTTAACTTACTAACAAGAGAGAGACGTTACGGCTGGTAATTTGCCGGCTAATGTGCTAATGTATTATTAACCGAGATAAACCGAGCTCAATCTGTCTGCAGTTAAATACAGGAAACGGGTCATTGGTCTGTCTGTGCCTTTGTCCCTACCATTGTACAGATTCATTTTGAAAGACATTTATTCTAGTCGCGCCGAGTGTTAACGAAATCTCTCGGTCCATTCCGTCGAGTCAATAATTTACCTCCATTTTCCTGATTACAACGAACGGCCGTCTTTAATCAACGAGGACATATAAATGTAATAAGACCTTCCATTGCGTAGGGAAGATGCACGTGCTGTTAAATCTATTAAGAATTCAGTCGCATAAATATTTATCCGCAGCCTTTCGAGGAAAAGGCGATTGTTACCGCGAAGAAAAAAAAAAAGAATTCCAGTCTCACATAACCGTGATAACGAGCGAGGACTTCGTCGATTAGAGATAAATAATCATTCCTTTACCCGCGGGTACAATCGATGTCATTTCCAACGCAATAAATTACCTCACACGATTTGTTCGAATCTTAGAAAACTTGTAACAAATGCCGAGTAATTTCTTTATCGTGAAATTTTAGTTACTCCGTTGAGAATTAACGGCCCTTTTGCATCGATCGAAATTCATTCGAGATTTATGTTTCAGTGCAAACTACGGCGAACACACATTGGGCGCGGCACAATCAGAAGATAAAGGAGAAGGTCAAGGCGAGAAATGAGTTGAAGAGGCCCGAACAGATACTGAAAGTTCGTAAGCTTATGGAGAAGAAACGCAAAAAAAATGGACGGAAACGGGGCAACAAAGGGGGTGGAAGAAAAGGAGGGAAGAAGTCGTAGAAAGAGGATCGCTTACGTTGTCGGACATAAACATCTTAATTATAATTTGATACTTAACGATAATTTAACACGAGGGGCCTGCATACGTTAATGTACATGCCGAAACAGTGAAATACATTTACGGAGGAGAAGATAATTTATCTTGAGAATTATTACGGATTGCTTTCTATGTTTTTATGTTGACGTTCATGGAACGGAAGGGAAGCCCGTAGGATGAATTTGTTGACGTAGCGATGTCTGTTAAAGTTTTTCAGAAGCACTCGATGCTGAGAAACGTTGCAGTTAATTCTATTATATAAGTGCCCGACACGTGCAATGTTTCAGCTCGAGTTACTTCTGTTATCAACGATAATCAGGTATCTCTGCAGCGAGTGCAGTCATGACTTGACATCCGGCATTGTACTTGTTCTTTATGCCGCCTCTTTGTTCCATCCTCGCTTACGATGACAAGAGTCATGGAAATTCCCCGAGAAAATCTGGACGATCCCGATAAGACGGGATTTTTAATTTGCAAATTATTATAAATTATCTTTAACGCCGATTTCCGGTTCGCCCCATTCCTTGCGCTTTCGTTGCCAGAATCGTAACGCCAATAAATGAATGTGCGGCGAAACCGACGCGGATTCTCGCGAACGCGACAGTACTCGAAGTCAACTCTGAGGCGTACGTCATATTCGTCATCGCTTCCAGCAAAAAGCGCGTCATTCAACCCAAGGAAAGAAAAGTAACCGAGCAAGGTCACGAGTGTTTATAGCTAATGACTTAACGCGACGCGAAAACTAAAAGGTGTAACAAACTGGATTTAACGAAACGCAGACCCGTTTCGATGGCCAGCTTTTCAACGGCGGTCCCGTGTACTAATTTTGTACCTAAGAGGCATATTTCGCTTTCTAGACGCCGAGAGTAATGCAAGAAAAATTGTCGAGCCTTTCGTCGGTTCGCTGAACTTTTCTTCAAGGACTGTACGTGAGGTTGCTCGAATGCAGCCGTACGTGCTACTCCGTGCAATAAGATGGAATACTGGTTTTATGATGCGAATCGACGAGGCACTCGGCTCCCCGCGTATGAAAATGTTAAATAAATCCCTGCTCGTATCGCTCCACCGGGAGTCTCTCTCATCGATCTTCTACAAAGAGAGGATATTCCCTTTTCGGGAATCGGAGTTAAGCAAACTTTGAACTAAAAGCTTAACAAGCGCTTTAGACGCGGTCGCCGTAAACTGCGATAAATGCAAGCGCGAAGTGCCGTGAAATTATAATTCCTCCATTGACGACTGCCTCGGCAATGAATACGTTATTTATGACCCAGTAACGGTACGTTTCTCACCAAATGGGAATACCGTTGAGGCACATCCGTCGTCGACGTCGCTATTATTTCTTCGGAGTCGAAGCGTTTATCGGCCGCCATTTTGTTTTCTTCGGGAAAAGCGTATCTAATGGTCCTCGCTACTTTTGATCCTCCTGCATCTTGGACTTGTTTACGGTCCATCTCTGTAGTTTCCTGCAAAAGAGGACCGTCTCTACATAAGATGAGGACGGGGAATTCCTCTCAGCGAGAGTCGACACAAATTTTCCTGGTTTCTCCGTCTTCGGACGCGGAGGAGTCGCGTGCCTTCGTTCTCGCATTCTTTGACATTCTCAAGGCTGCCGCGATCTGCAGGCTTAGTTACGCAATAACGCGCTTACCTGGGTATACGTATTTCGCTTTGCACCGAGTGGTACGCCGGTCACCGCGTGCGTACGGTACCGAGATGTACGCGTGTCGGGCTCCGAAGATCTTGAATTTTCTCGATATGTCAAGAGGCTCTGAAAAAAGATGGCGAAACTCGTTACGTCAAAGAACTGATGAAAAATTAAAAAGATGCGTTAAACAAAAAAAAAACAATTACCACCGTCCTCCCGGAGAGAGAAAACGTTTGCCCAAGCAACATGTATATACCTCATAAAAAAGATTAGTTGGCTCGAAGAATTATGCATCGCGACAGAAAAATCCGCCGAAAAACAATGCCGCATTGGGTAAACAGAATAATTTTAAATCGACATCATTTTTTCTTCTCGACAAAATAATCATTGCTTGCAGTTACATACGTTTCGGACAACAATTGAAAATCTTGCGACGTCTCCTGATAAACGGAACGGTCTTGAAAGAGAAAAATAAATTACAACTCGTTAGATTGGTATGTAAGAACGTTTGACAACTAATGGAAAATTGAGGAAAAAACATACTTGGGCTTAAAAAAAAATGTGGCCCGTGTCACGTGGAGTCTTGAAACGTCTGCATGGGCAGCGTGCACATTATTTTCAATCTGACGCAGCCCACAAAAGCTCCGATCCCCGAGGTCGTGAAGCGTGAGACCAAAGCCAAGCGATCCAAGTGACCGTGGAGCGTAATTATTCCACCTGCGATCGATACGTCCCTGGACGAGAGTCCACGCGAACTCGGGGCTTTCTTTTCACGAAACACGCGACCTTGAACCTAATCCACTTCTTTTTTTCTTTTTTTTCGCCGGTGATTAATTCCCACAGTCGGCACTGGAAAGGAGTTGCAAGGACCCGACCACGGCGTTCCTGGAACGAAATCCGAGCGATTATGTCCCATCAACATTGACTTACGAGAAAGTGATATCGTATGTCCCTCATTTTACAGACTCGGCTGGGACGGTACTTCAAGGCGCCCGATTTTTTTCCCATTGTCGACAATTGCCGCTTTCATGCTTTGGGTACATTCAGGAGCCTCATCTTCTTCAATCGGCGCCAGGTCTCGATACTCTTATAATAATCCCCCGGAGATGCATTCAACGCCTCGCGATATCGAAACTGGACAGTCGGTAACTTTTTACAGCTCGCCTTCGAACGCTGCGAAGTAGAAGAGTTACACGAGCGACCCTCGAATTGTGGATTTTCCACGCGTAAACTGGAGTTCTAAAGAGTAGTCGTTTTCGAACAGAATTTACCACCTCGGTCCGATCATGTAGAACATCGGAGACGCGCGGTGGCCAGGTAAGTACACCTGTGCGTGCGCTCTCGAAAAATAAGAGCGTGACGAAGGACGCTTCGCCGGTAGGATTCAAAAGCTTCCTCTTGTTCGCCACCATGCGACCGTGACGAACGCTCCAATTACGATCCCGTCTGCGCCGGTCACGAAAGTGCACTCTTTTGCGGCCAGGACTCGAAATTGCGCACGTCGTCCAGCCTATTGGGAAATCTATCCCTCTTGCGGAACGCTGGGACTCAAAAACGTAATCGAGGACGCAACGTCCGCTCAAATTGGCTGCGAATTGCTGCAGGTTGCCTCAACGTGCTGCAAGTCGCTGCGAATTTCCGCTGGGAGTCGCTGCAAACTCCTGTTGGAAGTTGCTGCAAACTGCCGCTGGAAGTCGCTGCAAATCGGTGGAAACTGTTGCTGCAAGTTGCTGAAGGCTGCTCGAGTTGGTCCGAACTGCCCTCGCTCGGTGCATTTGCAAGCCGCATTAGAGGACTCCTCGGTGCGCTCATGTACGGCCCCCTGCAATGGGAGTTGTTGCATCAAATCGACGAATGTTGATAATTAACTGAAAGTAACTCAATTCCGAGTGTATATACTCTCGCAGTCAAGTGCGGGGGTCGCGACGAGTACTCTGTAACTCAATACATCCGTGGGTTTCGATTGCCGTTATGGAGGTGTTGTCGCTACGGTGCGTCATGTAAAAGGAGTGAAAGGATACCTGATGCAATCGCGGACCTGCTCGAATCGTTCCATAAAATTATTCACCATTCCTCCCAGGATATCGAGCATATTTTTCCTCTTCTTTCGGATAAGCTTGCGCCCGGCCATGCGAGGAGAATTATGGAGTACCCGCGTATGTCGCTTGCGAAAGAAGCTAGGTGTACTTTTCCCAATTACAGGAGGGCGTTGCTGGCAATCACTCCATACACATCGGTGCCCCACGTGACGGACGAAATTACCCTGAGAGAAAAAAAAAAAGAAAAAAGAGAAATCCATTGAACCAAGAAAATATTTTCTTAATTCAAGTGTTTACAAACTCTTGGACAGCCTCTTGGAGGTCTGAAACAACTCCTTAATGTACAGATCCTGAAGAAACCGTGTCGTGCTCGATCTTAAACCAACTTCCTCGTTCCTCTTCCTGAACCACAGCTGGCGACGAACTTGACTCGAAGTTGTCATTTACTTTCATCTCTCGTCCTGTCTCCGCTTCCGAAATTTCTCCTTCCTTTCCCCAAAGGCGGACTTCCTGGACTCACTTTCTTTCAACCATTGACTCTCAACCTGAAACTTATAGAGGGAAGTTAGCGTCGACGTTGACGACGAATTTTCAAGAAGGGATCGACTTCGAGGAGCTGCATTTTTATCGGCTCGCCCTTAATGTATCCCGATGAATAATCGTGCCAGCGATTCGAGGGTAATTACGCGATGCACCCATTTTTCGAGCTATAGCTCGATTGATCGATCACGGATTGTCGCTATTGGGCGTGGAACGTCAATAAGATAAAAGGGTACTGACCCACTTTGACGTTGCGGTAATCACTGTCGAAGAATTACTAACTCGCTCACCATAAGTCTTTAGTCGAGGGTTGGCAATGGCCCGTGAAACGCGAGGAGACACCATGGAGGGTAGCACATTGTTACGGCTTTTTTGTGGAACATCCCTCCTACACTAAAAAAAAAATATATTCCTTAGACCAGAGAAATATAGAACAGTAGCAAACAATTTTTTTGTCAATTTTTTCTTTGTCTTTAAATTCAAAGAATAATTCTTTGACCGAAACAAAATCGAATGAATTGGAATAATTATTCTTTGAATTAAAAATATGTTTCTTCGGTTCAATGCATTTTTCTTACCTCGGTGTACAATATTGCCGAATGAATTTCTGCATATTAATCGCGACTTGCAACGTCGAATCGCACTTATCGATGTAATTTATCGCCATAAGGGGTACAAATTTGGTCGTGAGAAAAAATCTAGTAAGAGTTGAAAACCGGTCTTATCTGATCAGTACTCATATTGTAACTGCGTAGAAAGGAATTTCCCAGCACTCGGAAAACAAGTACAGGATCCATGCCCTTGGTACTTGAACCCATGACCACGCGTCCACCAGACCATAACATTCCTGGAGGCTTACCTCTGCACCAGCGATGTACACAGAGATAATGCAATCCCCTCGAATCGCTAGGGGAGCATGAACTTCGTTTATACCCCTTTTTTGCACTCGCTAAATAGGATTTGCAGCTGCAGCCTGGGAAGAAATGGCGGCGACGGTGTCAGGAGAAATCCAGAAATGCCACGCCATCCAGAAACCCGGCCTGGACGTCCTGAAAATAACGAGACTCTACGGTGTTCCTCTATAAACATGTTAATAAGCCGCCAAGGGACTTCTACTTTAAACTACGGTGGCCGTAAAACTCTTCTTACGGCCGCCATCTTGGAAGACGCTAAAGCTGCGACGCAGTTCGACTCACCTGTGTACGCATCTTCCCGTGACAGGTGGCAACGCGAATTCCTGGCAAAAGAGTCGCACCTTTACCTCTCCTTGCTTTTATCGAGGCCACAAAAACGCGAGTTAATCCTGGAAGAATTAAGAAGGGATTTTTATTGGCACGTTTATAGGCGCGCGTGAATGCGACACCGAACGCTTCCAATATGGCGTCGTTAACCGCCACACGCGGCGAATTTATGCCGCTGATTGTTTCCTTTAAGAGGAGTGTCTCCACGGAATTTATATTCGATTCTCACCTTGCCGAAAATGCTTAACGTCCGAAATATTCGACTCGTCGGAAATTTCAATGCCTGGCCCAGGAAAGGGGCTCTCGAATTTGAAACGAGGCGGGTAACTGGCCGCAATAACTGCCCTCGTTGTTTACAGGGTCGGTTTACAGGGGCACTGTAAACGTATTAAGTCGACACGATCAGCTTCCGAGAGGGTTGTTTCTGTGTCATTGTTTCCACAAGGCGACCCCTGGTGGATCCGAGTGGGTGGAATCGTTCGAGGGTATTTTCGCTCCAGGTCAACCGAGGTCCTTTCCACTCCGCCGAAGTTAAAGACGAACTCTTCGATCTTCCGCATATAACTCGCGTTAACTCTCTGCATTATATCCAATTATCCTTCAGAAACGTACTATCACTTGCCGTGGAAAAACAAAAGAAAGGAGTCCCAATGAAAATAATACAGCACGGAGAAAACTCGAGGTGGACTACCGTGAAGAAATTCGGGGACGCCATTTTGTCACGAAGGAACGAAACTACTGAGACGGACTCTTTTATAGGTAATTCGTTAATAAGATCGTGGTAATCTTGCTAATGGATTCTGTGTTTTCATAAATTTATGTAAATTATTTCCATCCAGCGGAGGGAAGTTGGCCTGAGGAAACGACTTCGTGGCTCCGAATAAATGGCCCCATTGACACGGACCACCCTGAGTGTCAGGGGTTACATATCGATAGGATTAAAGTCAGACCCACACCCAACGATTCGGCCCTTGGTAGGGCTCGACACGCCCTGTCGACCCTTTCTAACCACCGGCTAAAAATAATCCGAGACCTCGCGTATCTTTACGCGCACCGACATCTGTGCACGAGAGAGGGAGAGAGAGAGGAAGGGAGGAAGAGAGAATATGGTTTCGTGTACGCATACGCGATAAGTACACGCATGGACGACGACTTCAAGGGACCACTCTCTTACCTAAAACATCAAACTGTAATCTCGCAATCTCTTTAATAAAAAAATTAAGTAATCCAAAATATAGTCACCGAAAACCATTGCAAAAATCTTATCATCCAGAATTAGCATTTTAAATCTTAAACGATTTCGCACGTATCTGGGAGTCCGAGATGATTTTTAAAAGGCGACGCCCATGAGCATACACGTGCGAGGATAAATATACGTGAGGGGAGATGAGCGTGCACGTATATACATGCACGACTACAAACTACACGCCTTTTGCCGAGCAAGAGTATCAAATTCACCGAAAGTCGAGCT